ATTAAATGGAAACATTCTCATATGACCCTTATCGAGCCGGAATTGCAATCTCTGCAATTTTTCCGCCATGTTCTACCAAAAAACCGCCGAATCGAAGCCACCAACTAAAGAGGAAAATCTGTAGCATTTTCCTTGAATTAATACGTTTTTAATGTTATCCACCACAACCACAATTTAAATGAAAGAAGGAGAGATAAAACAGACCAGACCAAATGTTTCACTTCAAAGACCAAACATTTTCGTGTTGGTTAATTAGTTAGAGTTTGAATAGAACAGCAGAGATATTAAGTTTTTGTTCCAAGGATTCTTTTTTTTCATTCGTTTCGAGAACAAATTACAAAAAAGATGCAAAATAAATGAATGGATGAATGTGAGCCACACACAAAAATTGCATGGACAACAGATCGGATTGAAAAGGATACAGCAAGGACATGAATGCAGTCTAAACCTAGAGAGAGAGAGAGAGTGAGACACATACACACTCACAGCAGAACTAACTAAATTTACCAGTATTGTGCATACACCATAGTGGTGTACGATGTTCCAAAATGGTGCTACAACAACACGGACAAAGTACCAACACATCAACCAAAGCACACAGACGCTGACACCACCAGCCTGGAGTTCATTGTAAATTCGAACAAAAACAAATTTCCATTAGATATTCAAAGAATACAATATTTGCTCTGCATCCAAAACTGCAGAACCTCACCAAAAGCAGGATGGATATAAATGTATTATTTTGTGGGGGGAACGGCAATTGTGGATGGGAAGTTTTAATTTGCTAACCTGTAACTACTTTCCAATTAGAATTGTGGTATGTAACTGCAAGCTGGTATTATCTTATTGTGGTTTACATTGTGGAATAGGTTCGTATCGTGTTTCCGAAATGGAATAATTTTGTTAATGTGAAATGAATATTTGGATGAAATGGTAGTGGTAGTGTATGATATATGGGTTCCCTTGAATTGTGGGTAAATTTTTTGTGGCTTGTAAAAAGACGTTCAATCTACCATCTATATCTACATTTTACAGAATATGCAGAAGTATATTACAAAGTCCTTGATTTTGTAAAAAACTTCCGCACAACTTTGGTGGCCGGATGTATTGATTTTCGCATTACTAGTAACGACTGTCACAGGCCACATAAATTCAACATAGCATTCTAAAAATAGAAAAAAAGCTGCATTTCCAATCTTCGAAATGGTAAATTTGTAGATACTTTTTTAGCATCTTCGGGTTAAGATTCCTCGGAATCCAGGAATTTTTACATAGTATCTTTGGAAATATTGCTGATAAAAATATGAGAAATATTTTGGTCGAAAATTGTAGAATTCAAAAATGTCCTTTAAACGGAATCGTAGCATGTCAAAATATTCTTTAAAATTATTTGTCCTAAAATTCTACTATATGTGTAGGTAGGAAAATGTATTACTTTATCAAAATTTCGAGACATTTTTTTATAATTTCATTCTACAATAGCCAGTCTGGGTTGTAAAAAATATCGAGTGGGCTTCATAGTACTTATTTTAAGATCATAACCCCCAAAGAATTCTGGGTTCATAGACCAAATTATGTTAAGGCCCTTATATGATTTTGAACATATGCAGCTTGAGATAAAAAAACAGCAACAAAGTCAAACACCATAATTATTTTTTTTAAATGTTATTGAATGAAAGCAAAAAATGTCGGAAATTGCATCAAATTTTAGAATAAGTTTAGATTTGTTCGAATTGACGAATTATGGCCTACAAACGGCCAATGAAACCGTCACATACTGACCATGCTGTTTGAGGTGATTGACACTTTGGTATTTTTAGTGCCAACCTTGCTTTCCAAAATACTCCAGACACAATAGTCCAACGGATTCGTATCCGAAGATGTTGGTGGCCATTGTGCGCTGGAAATGAAGCGAGGAACCTCATTTTGTAACCATTCTTGGGTGGCGCGTGCTGAGACCTGTTGGAATGTCCAAGGTCTGCGGCCAAAATGTTTGCGTGCCCAAGGCGTTAATACACCCTCCAGAATATTTTCGCTATAATATTCAATATTTATTTTGATGCCACGGTCGATTAATACGAACGGAAAGCGAACATCGGCTGCTATGGCGGCCCACACCATCACCATGACCGGCGCTTGAGTTCTGGTGGCCAATCGAAGGTGCGCATTTTCAGCTGACCTCTTTGGCAAGTAAACACGATCATTTTGTTTGTTTACAAACTGCTGGACAAAGAATGTTGTCTCATCGGATAAAACCAAATTCAAATTGCAGATCACCACTTTCGGCCAAGCGCGAAGCAACTCTTTAGCTCTTTTGAGTCTATTTTCTTTCTGGTGCGTTGTAAGTTCTTGCACTTTTTGACATTTCAAGGGCTTTACCCTGAGCTCATTTTTTCAATATTTGCCGAATGGAATATTGCAATATGTTCAGCTTACGCAAGATCTGGTGTGAAGATGGGATAAATCGGATCACACCTTCTGCTACCTTCTCCATAAAGCGGTTAACTTTTTGAATAATGAAACGCTGGTAAAATATTCGATTCTCTTCAAATTTCACACATTCTATGTCTGAAATTCTTTTTGCCTATAAGGTCCGTATATTCGGAAAGTACTCCTCGATGCCTTTCATTTTTTCCCCAGCCTTAACACCGCTTCATTCTTAATTTCTGTTCAGTGGATCCTTTTATCTGTAATTTTCCTCAAATTGAGAGATTATTTTTCAGTAACTTCGAAAAATTCCAAAGTCTTTGCCTGTAAGGTCCATATATTCGGAAGGTAGTCCTCTAGATGTTTCATTTGTGCCCAGCTTGTGGACCCTTTTATCTGTAATTTTCTTAAAATTTAGCGATAATTTTTCAGAAAACTCGAAAAAATACCGTAATTAGAAAGTACTCCTCGACGCCTTTCATTTGTGCCCTTCCTTTACACCGCTTCAGAAAATTCAGAAATAAGGTCCATATATTCGGAAAGTACTTTTCGATATCGCCTTGGCCTGTGTCTTTATACCCTCAGCCATATGGCTAGAGAGGGTGTATATCATTTGATACTGGCAAAAAGTGCCTAGTCGAAATAACAGTTTTTGACCCAAGGTCTCTTTGCATCAAATCCGTTTCAGGACATTTGGAGTCGATCTATCGATGTCCCTCCGTCCGTCCGTCTGTATGTCTGTCTCTCTGGGGCGTACGATAACTCTCGAAGGGAGTATCTGATATGGTCCAAACTTGGTACATCGTAATATTATTAATAAACTTAGATCGAGTTCGGAGATGGACAATTCTGGCACCTCCCGCACAAAAGGCCGAAATTTTAAAAAAAATATTTTTTTTTGCACAGAAAGATAGAGGATAATCCAAGTTTGCTCCAACTTTGCAAATCTTAATATTTGCATCAGCGCTAGATTAGAAAATAGACAATATCGGCCCACTCCATTAAGTACCTCCCCTCGGCTAAAACGACAGATGTATAATCGGGAGAATATAGATGGTACTAAGGAGAATATGATATGTTGCTCTGCAATTTGAAGAAATATCCATTCATTTCCAATCTATCTTTAATGCAGAGGGTAGTAATGAGTTTTTTTCGGTTCATATACCTTCCAAATTTTTGTTGAATTTGCCAAGATCTGTCCAAGTTTTCAAATTTATTCTTTGAGATTTTAAGTTTTTTTCATAGTCTGCCAGAACCGAATACCATTTCTATTTTCTTATATTTCAACTTTAAAAGTTTTATTAAAAATTTTACAGCTTTCGTCTGTCGTAACAAAAATGGCGATAATGATAATTGACAAAACAAGAACATAACATTAAGGCAACACAAAATTCACAACAACACGACTGCATCCTTCTTCTTGACGGGTCCGGAGAATAGAAACGGAAAAGTGAATGTTTTTTTTTCATACATTGTAAGGATGAGATTTTCTTTATATTGTGTTGTTGGCGTTGGCGTTGCTGTTGCCTGTCGTCGTAAAAACAAACAACAGCAAAGTGGCATTAATATGGCATATTGAAGCAATGTTGTTGTTGGCATTGTTGCTACTGTTGTAGCTCATTTTCTTATGATGTTCATAATGCTTTTGTTAATGACGCTGTTGTTGTTTCTCATTTTTCCTTGTTGTTGTTGTTGTTGTTTTTGTTACGGTTTGCCTGTTGGCTTAATTGTACTTTGCCGAGGACTGTTGGAAATTGTTTTTTGCTAATTAAGCTGCTGCTACTGGTAATAATTTTCGTGGAAAAACAAACTCTTTAATGCCTGGCGGAGAGTGGCGGCGGTGGTGGTTAGGTTGACATTTTGTGGAAATTTGTAAAATTATTTTTTTCTTTCTTTTTAAAGGATAAAATGTAGTTGGGTTTTATGGGGGCAGGTTAAGTAGAGGTTTTAGTGGGCGAAAGTCATGGCAAGTGGCTAGGTTTGAACTTTAAATGCCCAGACAATTAGATCAACGAAACAATCCAATTTTAAAGACAAACTGTTTTTTTCTTGTGGTCTTTTTGGCCAATAATTCAATCTCCTTTTTTGACCTTGTAAGAACAATACATTTACGTTGTAAGTCATGTTGCCCTGTCCCCTTTTTGCCCTTGTACATATTTCATCTTTTTCATTTTTCTCTCTTACGCACATTTCCCCCGCATTTGATTGATTGACGTGGTTTGTTTGTGCAACTTGTCGTCTCTTCTAATGGAATGCCATTAAGAAAAATGTCAATCCATTTATAATTAGCATTTCATCAGTCAGTCAGTCAGTCAGTCGCGCTCAGTCAGCCACTCAGATATGTATCATTCTTTTAACATCCCAGCCAATCGGCTTAGCTTTCGTTGACTGGCACTGTCATTCAGAGTCTCAGAGAAATATTTAAACGAGTTTTGCAGCATTTTAAATGGAAAATCGTTTTTCTTTTCAGCACCGTTTGATTTGTTTAAATCAACAAAATTTGTTAATTGCCATTTTACATCACAATTTGATATTAATTGTTGTTTTCCTTTTTTTGTAACGTTTCATTGCAGATTTGTAAATTGCCGACAAATTAGAGGTAAGTGAAGAATTTGGTAAACGTTTTGTATTATTTTTTTCTATAAAAAATGTTAGGAATTAGGGGCTAAGGAGACTTTGGAATAACTTCGAAGTCCTTTCTCATTTTTACAGAAGAGGCTATAGCGACAGTCTAAAAGTTGTATGTATAAGAAAGTTAAAAATGTCGGTATATTAAAGAGATATGAGGTGTATACCCTTTCTTGGGAGACATATCATAACATTGTACCTACAGGTAAACTTTGAAGAGAATCAGAGGTAGTAGGCTAATATGTCTCATATTCACACTAGATCTATTGTAGGTGGAGCATTTTTGTCCCTATTCTGTACGAATTTCCTAAATCACCAACTGGTCTGATAGCTGGTATTAATAGTGACCTACATTGTATTAATTTAATAGTATTAATTTTAAGTATGAATTTCCAAAAAAAAACACACTTTATCTCACGGCTACTCACCAATACATACCTACATGTCTAATTTCGATTTATGGATATATAGGTTGTATATCATTTGCTATATCCAAAATATTTTAAGACTTTGTTCCCATGACTTTATGATCAAAATCCGTTAAGGAAATTTAGGATCCGTTCGGACGAAATATTTTTACTCAAACTCTGATCGATATTAAAGATGGGCAGTAAGGTCCAAACCTTTCTGGTAAAGGCGTTAAAAAAGTGTACAACTTCAAAAAAAAAAAAAAAAAAAAAAATAAATAAATAAAATACGATCTAGGACGAAATCGATTTTCATGGGCCATAAAGGGTGTCCCGAATAGAACGCAATTTTAAATTTTTTAATAAAAACCTAGTGAAACTTTATTACATCGTAAAGTAGTCAGAATGGCTTTGCTGGCACACACATGATCTTTTACTGATATTTTCGTTTGGTACCGTTTTGCAAAAATGCTGCGGTATTTCATTAATGCATTGTTCGATTTCCTCTTTTAAGGCTTGAGTCATCGCCGGCTTACTCTCGCAGATCATCGTCTTCAAAAACCCCAAAGAAAAAATCTAAAGGTATTGAAACGCACATCTATTCGGCCAATTCTTATTTCCCAAACGGCAAAAAGCATGACCGGGAAATGACTGATGCAGCAATTGAATTTTTCATCAATAGCAGGAAAAAAACTGGTTATCATTTTACGATACCGGTTTCCGATTTCATGGTTGCGTTCTATTTTTGACACCTTATAGTAAAATCATCCATGGGACACTTTATTGTAAAATCATCCATGGGACACCTTATCGTAAAATCATCCATCGTAAATGTATAGATATATATATATATATATATATATATATATATATATATATATATATATATATATATATATATATATATATATATATATATATATATATATATATATATAATAGATTTTATATGTTATTCAAGTTTTTCTTTCTTTTCGGAAAGAATGATAGGAAAATGTTTATGCACCCAAACATTTTAAAAATCTTTCGTATTCCAATTTACTGAGGAGTAAAACCATTGCACAATGTACCCACATCCATATGTAAACCATAGAAACCTGTAGTGACCTCAATATAAAATTTCTGTATTCCAACTCAATCCATTTACGAACAATTATAGTGCACATTTCCAAAACCACTTCCATATCTTTACCTCAGATACCAACAGTGACTTTAATATCAAATTTCAGCTATGTAATTTCCCCAAATGCCAATTTTTTTACAATTTAGTACATTTATAGTACGCATATCCAAAATCAGTGCCAACAGTGACATCTATATACTATTTCAATATTTCAGCTCTGTTGCTTCACCCAATACCAAATTTAGTACTATTTAGTACTTTCTGTACAATTATAGTACATATATCCAAAACCACCTCCATATCTTACCCACAGTGACATCCAAATTAAAATTTAGTATTTCAGCTCTAAATATTCACTCAATACCAAATTCAGTAAGTTTCGTACAATTATAGTATACATTTCCAAAACCACATTCATATCTCAATTCCAGGTACCAACAGAGACCTCAATATAAAAGTTGGGGACTCCAGCCCATCCCATCAGACAATATTAAATTTAGTACCATTTAGTACTTTTCGTACCAATAAAACACGCATTTGCCAAACCACCGCCAAATCTCAAACGAAGAGGCCATCAGTAACGTAAATATCCAATTTTAGAATTGTATCTCTAAACCTTCAAGCATTCAGTACTCTTCCTACCCTTCCTATGTAGGCCAGACACATGACCTACATATGGCAAGGGTACACATAAAGAACGACCCTAAATTTCTTATTTCAAATTATTATTCACCAAAAACCAAATTCTACCAAATATTTTCCAAAACCAACTCTTTACCACAATCCTACTACCAAAATTTCATCCGTTCACCCTTAACCAAACTTTTCCATATTAGCTACCACTTGGTATAGTTCGCACATTTAGTACACATTTCCTTCATATATCTAACTTACTCTCCATCCTCGATTCCCGTACCAAATTTCAAGATGTTTGAGCTACCAGTTCACATAATACCGAATGGCAGAACTCTTTGTAAAACTTTTTGTAAGCTTAAAGTTCGTGCTCTTCAAAGGATTTCTCCAGCTATGACCAATTACAAACAAATACAAAGATATTCCTTTAGAAAACATATAGTCCTTTCATTTTTTGTTAGTCAGTTTGTAACAGCTCGAAATATAAATTTTACTCGAATGTGTATTAGGACTGCAGGACTTTTGGTATTGAAAATTGGCTATATGGGTCCACGTTTCGGTATAGCCCCCATATAACTGTATCGACAGATTTAAAGTTTTTTGGGTGTTGTAGTTACAATTTTAACCCGAATTTTCTGAACTGTAAATATATGCCTAGGTTTTGGTACTGTGCCTCCAGATATTCGGTATTTTTTATAATTTGTGTCACACATTCCACCAGAATTGTTTGAAATTTGGAATTTAAAATTTCTAACGGATGCTTCAGCCTGTGACCGGAAATTGTCTATACATGTCCACGTCTTCATATTAGCCCCAATATTTCGGTAACTCCATACAGGGTTGCCCATATTCGACGGACCTATCTGGCAACGCCATAACTTTTGACAGAGATGTCACATCGCTTAATGCATACCGCGTTTGCAGCGTCAGTCCAATCAGATTTTTACCATGAACCAATACACGCCACGCGAGCGCTCTGAAATAGTTGAAATTAACATTCAACAGAAGAAGTCAATTGTGAAAACTCAACGTGCTTTTCAATCATTAAAAAATGTAAGAAGTGCGCCTTCTAAGGGACCGTTTTTACGCCACTGAAAATCCTCAGGTCCAAGAAGTGCCTCTTCATGACGAAAAAGTCACAGTTTGGTGCGGCGTTAGTGCGAAATGGCCATGCTTTTACCATTAATCAGGAGCGTTATTGCGACATGATGACCAATTTTGTGATGCCAATTATTCGTCGAAAGCGTATGAGGCAGTTCTGGTTTCAACAAGACGGCGCTCCACCGCACACAATTCGCATAACAAAACATGGGTCCGTCGAATATGGGCAACCCTGTATATTAGGTGTTTTTATACCCTACACCACAAGGTGGTCAGGGTATTATGTCTTTGTGCATTTGTTAGTAACAGGCAAAAGGAAACGAGATAGACCCATAGTTCCTTTTGCTGATCTGCATATCCGTCCGTCCGTCTGTCCATGTATTTTTGTAAACAAAGTACAGGTCGCATTTATTGCCCAATCCAGATGAAATTTTGCAAAGATCTTTTGTTTGGCCCAAGGACGAACCCTATTGAAATTGGAGATAATCGGTAAAAATTTAGTTATAGCTCCCATATATATCTTCGTCCGATTTGCCTTTTATTGTGCACCAAACGTGTAATATCAGCCCGAATAGTATGGAATTTTGCACATACAACCAAATTAGGCCTGAAAATAAGTATGCCAAATTTTATCAAAATCGGTTCAGATATAGCTATAGCTCCCATATATATTGTTCATCCGATTTGTTATTTTTGTCCTCCAGAGCCGTAATATGCACTCTGTAACAACAATATTTGGGGAAATATATCAAATGCAGATCAGAAATACTTTTGCTAAATTTTATCGAGATCGGTTCAGATTTGGATATAGCTCCCATATATAACTTCGTCCGATTTACCATTTATTGTGCACCAAACGTCTAATATTTGTCCAAATGGGATGGAATTTGGCAAATACGACCGAATTTAGTCTAGAAGGTAGTATGCCAAATTTGGTGAAGATCGGTTCAGATATAGCTATAGCTCCCATATATACAGTTCATCCGATTTGTCATATTTGTTACCCACAGCCGTAATATGCACTCCGTAACAACGATATTCAGGGAATATATCAAATACAGCTCAGAAATATCTTTTCCAAATTTTATCGAGATCGGTTCCGATTTGGATATAGCTCCCATATATATTTTTATCCGATTTCAAATTAATTTCGCACCAAATGGGCAATACAAGTCCGAATTTAAAAGATACAAATGCCTTGGCATATTTAGTCCTTTGAATTTTAAATTATAATTATAATCATAGCGTGTATGATTGAATTCTCCCATAAAAACTTTTAATTATTAAGTGGAGCTCAACTAAATTAGCAAAATGGTGTAGGGTATCATAAAATCGGCCCCGCCCGACTTTAGGACTTTCTTTACTGGTTATTATTTAAGCAGTCATTTTCAACCGATTCCGATTTATTTTTTTTTTGTTTTTTTTGTTTTTTTTTTTTTTTTTTTTTTTTTTTTGAAAAATTGGTGGAGGGTATTCTAGTACTCGTTATAAACTGTAAATAATAACAAGAAATAAATCTCCAAAATTGCCCTGAAAGACAGATTAACATAACTGTTTAAACTGCTATTTTAAAATATGTGCCTATTATGCATGCTATTTAAATTCGGAATTGAAAGATCTACGATAATTATATCAAGGAGGTCGCAACTGCGTTGCTCTAGTAGAAGTATTTGAAATATATGAATTGTACTTGTCTTAAATAAATTC